TTTGTCTTCTGCTGATCTCCATGTCTTTTCATGCTAGTTCCACACCATCTTGATTCATGTAGCTGAACAGTAAGTTTTTGAAATCAGGAAATGTGAGTCCTTCAATGTTAGTTTTCTTTTTCAAGTTGTTTTTGGATATTCTGGTTACCTTGCATTGTAATGTGAATTTTACAACCAGCTTATCAGTTTTTGGGAAAAAAAAGCATTTGGAATTTTGATAGTGATGCCTTGAATGTGTAGATCAATTTGGAGGCTATTACAGTGTAAATAATATTATATATTCCAATCCATTTATTTAGTTGTTCTTTAATTTCTTTCAACAATGTTTTGTAGATTCCAATGAATAATTCTTAAACTTCTTTTGCTAAATTTATTCCTAAGTATTTTTCTCTTTTTATGCTAGTGTAAATTAAATTGTTTTCTTTTATTTTATAGGTTCAACTATTTCCTTCCATAATTTATTTACTTTTTATAATTTGCATCCAAGTTAGTTAGCACATGGAGCAACAATGATTTCAGGAATAGATTCCTTAATGCCCCTTTCACATTTAGCCTATCTCCCCTCCCACAACACCCCCCCCCCCCGCCACCCCCTGTTTGGTCTGTATATTTAAGAGTCTCCTATGTTTTGTCCCCCTCCCGGTTTTTATATTACTTTTGCTTCCCTTCCCTTATGTTCATCTGTTTTTTATCTTGAAGTCCTCATAAGAGTAAAGTCATATGATATTTGTCTTTCTTGGACTGACTGATTTCGCTTAGCATAATGCCCTCTAGTTCCATCCACATAGTTGCCAATGGCAAGATCTCATTCTTTTTGATTGCCAAGTAATACTCCATTATATGTATACCACATCTTCTTTATCCATTCATCCATCAATGGACTTTTGGGCTCTTTCTAAATTGTTTTCTTAATTTCATTTTCAGATTGTTCACTACAAATGAGTTAAAATGCAACTAAATTTTATATATTGATTGTGTATTGTATATTATATATTGATTTTGTATAAACTTTGTATCCTGAATTTGTTTAGTAAGGCCAATAAATCACTTCTGGATTCTGTAAGACTTTCTATACACAAGATCATGTCATCTGCAAATAAAAATAATTTACTTTTTCCTTTACAACCTGAATGCCTTTTATTTCATTTTCTTACCCAATTTCCCGGGCTAGAACCTTCAGGAAATGTTGAATAGAAGTGTTAGTGCTAAGAGTAGAGATTCTTATCTTGCTCTTGATCTTTGGGGTAAAATCTTTCAGTCTTTCACCATTAAGTATGTGTTAGTTGTATGTTTTCTACTGATGCCTTTTATCAGTCTGAGGAAGTTCTCTTATATTTTCAGTTTGATTTATGTATTTGTCATGACAATATGTTCAATTTTTTCGAATATATTTTCTGCATTTATTGAGATTATTATGTGCTCCCCCCCCCTCCCATTTATTCTATGGATATAGTGACATTGATTGACTTTTATAGGTTGGTTCAACCTATACCAGGGATAAATTCCTGTTGGTTATAGTGTATAATCCTTTTTAGAGGCTGATTCAGTTTGCTAGTATGTCACTGTGGAATTTTTGTCTCTATATTTATAAGGGACATTGGTGTCCGTATTTTTTTTTCTTGTAATGTCTTTTTTGCTTTTGATTTCACAGTAATATTGGATTCATCAAAAGGAAAGTGTTCCCCTCTCTTCTATTATTTTTGAAAGAGTTTAAGAAAGTTTGATCTTAATTCTTTTTTAATGTTTGGTAGAATTCTCTAATGAAGACATCTAGATCTGGGCTTTTCTTTAGGGAAACATTTTTTATGACTAATTTAATCTCTTTACTTATTATAGGTCTATTCAGATTTTTAATGTTTTTCTTAAGCTAGTATTAGCAGTTTGTGTCTCTCTGCGTATTTTTCCTTATCACATATGCTATCTAGGTTTCATCTATGTTGATATATGATATAAGATATTATTCTAATAATCTTGTATATATACCAATATGTAAATAATATATGATTCATGTCATATAATTTATAACATACAAATTATATATTTCTATAATTTATAATATAATATACAATATACAACTAATATATAATTTATGTAATATAATATATAATATAAATACAAAAGATTAATAATGTCTTCTCCAACTTTAGTAATTTGAATCTCTTTTTTTCATGGTTACCATATCTCATTTTGTTGACCTTTTCAAAGAACCTCCATTGGTTCATTTATTTATTGTTTCTATTCCCTATTTTATTAATTTCTGCTACAATTTTATAATTTTCTTCTTTCTGCTTCTTTTGAATTTAATTTGTTCTACTCTTACTAGTTTTTTTATGGTAGAAGTTTAGTTTATTTATTTGAGTTCTTTTTTCTTTTATAATATGTTTTGGAACTACCAATCTTCCTCTGGTAACTGCATTAGCTGCATCCTGTAGGTTTGGGTCCGATTGTGTTTTCACTTTCATTTACTTCAAAATATTTTCTAATTTTATTTGTAATTTCTTCTTTGACTCACTAGTTATTTATGTGGGTGTTATTTAATTTCCACACAGGTGGATTTACCAAATTTATGCTATTGGTGACCAATTTCTTTCTATTGTGGTGAGTGAATATACTTTATATGGTACCACTCTTTTTCCTTTCTTTCTTTTTCTTTTCTTCTTTCTTTCTTTTCTTTCTTTTTTTATTTTTATTATTTATTTATTTATTTATTTATTTGTTTGTTTGTTTTTGAGAGAGAGAGAGAGAGAGCGCTCATGCATCGGTGGGAGAGCCAGACTGAGCTCGGCTGGTTCTCACAACCATGAGAGCATGACCTGAGTCGAAATCACAAGTCAGATACTTAACCAACTGAGCCACCCAGGTGCCCCACATCATTCTTTTTGATTTTTTGAGACTTGTTTTATGGTCTAACATCTGGCTACCCTGGAGAATGTTTCACGTGCTTTAAGAAGAATGTATGTTCTCCTGTTGTTGTGTGGAGTATTCTATACATATTTGTTGGGTTCAGTTTGTTTACAGTGTTGTTCAAGTTTCTATTTCTTTGCTGATATTCTACCTAACTGTTTTATTTATAAAACGTGGGGCATCAAGGTTGACAGCTATTTATATTCATTATTTGTTTCCCCCTAAACTATGCCAGTTTTTACTTCTTGCATTTTGGGACTTTGTTAGCTGTATATATGTTTATAAGTGTTATATCTTTTTGATGGATTGGCACTTTTATCATTATAAAATGTCCTTCCTTGTCTCTAGTAACCTTTTTTGTCTTAAAGTCTTTTTTTTTCTGATATTGGTGCAGACACATTGTTATAGTAAGCATGGTATATAATTTTTCACCCTTTTACTTCCAACGTGTTTGCATCTCTGAATCTAAAGTATGTCTTCTAGGTATAACATATAGTCTGATCTTTTTTAAAAACTGTTTTATGTTTATTTATTTTTGAGAGAGAGCAAGACAGAGTGTGGGGGGGGAGGGGTAGAGAGAGAGGGAGACACAGAATGTGAAGCAGGGTCCAGGCTCTGAGCTGTCAGCACAGAGCCCGACACGGGTTTGAACTCATGAACCGCGAGATCATGACCTGAGCCGAAGTCGGACACTTAACCAGCTGAGCCACCCAGGTGCCCCTAGTTTGATCTTTTTTAATCCCTTCAGCCAATCTATGTTTTTTAATTTAAGAGTTTAATCTAGTTATATTTAATGGTATTACTGATACAGTACAATTTATGTTTGCCTTTTGCTGTTTGTTTTCTATATGTCTAATGAATTTTATTGTTCCTCTGTTCCTCCATACTGTTATCTTTTATGTTAAAAACATATTTTGCAGTGTACCATTTTAAGTCCTTTATCTTCTCCACTATTTATTTTGAGTTATTTTCTTAGTGGTTGCCCTGATGAGTAACATGTTCATTTATAACAGTCTTGTTCATATTTACAACAACGTAATTTCAATAGTATATGTTAAGGACTGAATGAATTGTGTCCTTTCAAAATTCCTATGTTCAAGACTTAACCCCCAGTATGACTGTATTTGGAGAAAGAACTTTTAAAAGTCTACATGAGATCATAAGGGTTGGGCCCTAATCTGATATGATTGGTGTCCTTATAACGAGAGGAAGAAATACCAGAGGGCTCTCTCTCTCTCTTTCTGCATGCCTTATAAACACAGATTTATAATTGTTGCTTTATGCAGTTGTCTTTTCAATCAGATGGGAGAAAAAAAAGAATTAAAGACAGAAATACATTTATGCAGTCATTTACATTTACCTATGTAATTACCTTTACTAGTGCCTTTAAAGTGTCCTTATGTTGTCCTAGAGGTCTCTAAAGCTTTGTATATTTTTTCCTTATTTCCCCCCATTTCTTCAGATTGGATAATAGCAATTTATTTATATTCAACTTTACTTATTCTTCTGCTTGCTCAAATATTTTGCCAAGGGTTTCTATTGAATTTTTTATTTCAGCTATTGTATTTTCCAATTCTGGAATTTCTATTTGATTCTCTTTTTTGTAATAATTTCTCTTTGTTCATACTCTGTTCAAGAAAACATAATTCTCATACTTTCCTTTAATTCTTTGGACATGATTTCTTTTAGTTTTTTGAACATTTAAAAAATGGCTGATTTAAATTTTGTGTTTGCTAAGTCCAATTTTTTTCTGAGCTTCCTCAGGGACAGTTTCTTTTGACTGCTTTTTTCCCTGGGTAGAAGCCATACTTACTTGTTTCTTTCCAAGTCTCATAAATTTTTACTGAAAACTGGATATTTGAAATAATTAAATCTGGCAATTCTGGAAATCAGATTCTCCTCCTTCTCCAGGGGTTGTTGTTGTTTCTACTTATAGTAGTTGTTTGCTTACTGAATTTTCTGAACTAATTCTATAAAGTATTTATTATTTGTCATGTGTGGCTACTGAAGTCTCTGTTTGGCTAGCTTAGTGGTCGCCTAATGATTGGATAGAGATTTCTGTAAATTCTGTGGCTCTATAAAAACATACCACAAACTCGGTGGCTTAAAACAACACACATTTATTCTATTATAGGTCTGGATGTCAGAAGTCTGAAATAATTTTTACTGGGCTGAAATAAAGGTGTTAGCAGGATCGCAACGTCTCCAGAAGATCAAGGGGAGGATTTGTTTTTCTGTCGTTTCCACCTTCTTCAGTTGCATTCCCTGGCTCATAGGCCTTTCTTCAGTCTTCAAAGCCAACAGTGTAGCATCTTTCTGTAATCTGCACATTGCCTTTTTTTGAGAGAAAGAGAGAGCAAATGGATGAGGGGCAGAGGGAGAGGGAGGGAAAGAATCCCAAACAGGCTCCATGCTCAGCGCAAAAGACGCTCCACTGACTGAGCCACCCAGGCGCCCCACGCATTGCCTTTTTATTTATGTGTCAAATATCCCTTACCTTCTCCCATGTAAGGACACATATTATTGTAAACTTAGGGTTCATCCAAGTAAGCCAAGATAATCCCCCCTCCCAGTATCCCTCAAAACATCAGTATGTCTCTTATGCCATGTAAGGTAATATTCACAGGTCCCAGAGATTAGGATTTGGACATCTTTGGTGGCCATTAATCAGCCTACCACAGCCATAAACGAATCTTCTAGTCTTTTCAAAGAGGCTGTGTGTGTGTGTGTGTGTGTGTGCGTTGGGGAACACCTTCAACACAGCCAAATAATTGACAACTGTCTTAACCTTCACTTTCTGCTTAAGCAAATTCTCTTATCCTAACTTTTCCTTTTAAGACTTTTGATTCATTTGTTATTTACCCCAGTCATTATCCCCCACCGCAGGCAGCCACAAAGTTAAAACACTAATCAGTAACTGTTCTTGACAAGGGCATCCGGGGAAGAAGGCTTTTCATATTGAACAAGTTCTGAGTCAGATCAAATACATGCTTTCTTGTAAGCGACAGTCTTCCAGGGGACCAACAGAAAGGTCAACTAATGACAATTCTTTGTATTTGAGGTGTGCAAGAGCTTTGGTTTTATTCTGCTCCTTCCAGTGTCTTCCAGGCTGTTCTGAGAATGCTGGCTGTTATTTTGCAGAGAATTACTACAGGCCTGAACAACAAGAGATTGGTATACAGCAAGTTAACGTGTTATAAAACCTACTGTTCTTTACCAAGATTTAGCACACAACCCCCTCCCCCCCCCACACACACATTTTAATAATTGTTCCTTGGATGGCTGCAATCATTTGTGTAACTTGTAACTTCTAGAGTTTTGAAAAAGTGCATATGACAAATTTTGCCAGTTTTCTCCTTGTTTTTATGGAAGAGAAAACATGTTGAGGTACTTACGCCATCATTTCTGTTGATGTACCTCCCCAAACTGTTTTTTCAAGTTTCATATCCATTTTATATCCTCATCAACAGTGTATGAGAGTTGAAATGTTTCTGTATCTTTGCCAATGCTTTGTGTTGTCAGTCTTTTTTTTTAGATAGTCTAATAGTTGTATAGTGCTATCTCTTTGGGGTTTTAATTTTTTATTTCCCTAATGAATGATACGTTGCATGTCTTTTCATGTATTTATCTGCAAATCTCTTCTGCTGAAGTGTCTTTTCTAGCACCTTGTCTCCTTTCTATTGCATGTTTATTTTTTTATTATTATTGAGTGTTGCAGTTTCTTTAGATACTCTGGGAACAAGCCCTTAATCAGAAATGTGACTTGTAAATCTTATTTTCTAGTATGTGACTTGTCTGTTGATTCTCTTAACAATGTCCTTTAAACATCAGAAGGTCTTAATTTTGGTGAAGCCCACTTTTATCAATTTTTTATTGCATGGATTGATGCATTTGGTTCATATGTAAGAAATCTATGGCCAGTGTTGAAAATCTTTTCTTGTAGAATTTTTATAGTTTAAAGCTCTTCTAGATTTTTTTATAACTTTAAATTTTCATTTTAGGTTATGATTCATTTGAGTTAATTTTTATATATGCAAGGTATGGACTGAGGGTTTGTTTCTTTGTTTGCTTGCTTGTTTGCATGGGGATATCGGTTGCTTCCAGAATCATTTGTTGAAAAGACTTTCATTTCTCTACTGAATTGCCTTTGTACCTTTGTCAAAAATCAGTTGACCATAAATATTTGGGCATTTCAGGACTCTCTCTTTTGTTCCATTTGTCTATTTTTCGGCTATGTTTATGGCAATACCACATTGTCTTTATTCTTGTAGCTTTTTTTAACGTTACCTCTACCCTCAACTTGTAACCCCAAGATAAAGAATCTCTTGCTCTGTCGTGAGCCAGCCAGACACCCCTATTCTTTTAATTTTAATTAAGTCTTGATGTCCAATAGCATTAATCTTCCAACTTTGTTATGCTTTTTCAAAGCTGTTGTGACTATACAAAGTCATCTATATTACCATACAAATTTCAGAATCAGCTTGACAATTTCTACAAAACACCTGCTCTTTTATTAGGATCACATTGTATATAAAGAGTTCAATTTGGGGGAAATTCTTAATAATATTGATTGTCCTAATGTAGGAAGACACCTATCTCTGCATTTATTCAGGTCTTCTTTAATCTCTCAGCAATGTTTTACAGCTTTTAGCTTATAAGGTTTTTACATTTTATAATATTTCTTACTCAGTATATTTTTGACGCTATTCCACACGCTTTGGTTTTGTTTTCTTCAAATTTCTGATTGTTCATTGTTAATAGTTAGGAATTCAACTGGTTTTTGTACATTGATTTTATACCTGTAACATTGCTAAATTCATTCATTAGTTCTTATATCTTTTTTGCAGATTCCATAGGATTTTCTACATATACAATGTCATCCAAGAACAAAAACAATTTTACTTCGCCCTTTCCAATCTGGATGTTATTTGTTTGTTTGTTTAGCTTATTGTTCCAGTTGAAACCTTTAATATAGTGTGGAATACCAATAGCAGAGCAAACATCTTTGTCTTGTTCCTTGATTTTTTGGGAGAAAGAAAACATTAATTACCGTCAAAGATGATTCTAGCTGAAGGTTTTTTTTACAGATGGTCTCTGTCAGGTAGTTTTCTGAGAGATGTTTTATTATGTATTATAAATTCATATTAAGTTTTGTCAGTTTTTTCTGAATCTATTTTCTTTTTTTTCAAAGTTTTTTAATGTTTATTACTTTTGAGAGAGAGAGAGAGAGAGAGAGTGTGTGTGTGTGTGTATGTGTGTGAGAGAGAGAGAGTGGGGGTGGAACAGAGAGAGAGAGGGAGACACAGAATCTGAAGCAGGCTCCAGGCTCTGAGCTGTTAGCACAGAGCCCGACGCGGGGCTCGAGCTCACGAATCGCGAGATCATGACCTCGTGGAAGTCAGATGCTTAACCAGCTGAGCCACCCAGGTGCCCCCTGAATCTGTTTTCAATGACTACATATTTTTTTCTTTTTTAATCTGTTGATTTTGTTTTCTTTATTGATTTCCAATGGCAGAGCCAAACTTGCCTTTCTGGGATCAATTCTATATGGTTATAATGTATTGTCCTTCTGATATATTTCTGCCAAAGTTTTGGTGCGGGGGTTTACATTTATGCTCATGAAAGATTGTATTCTGTAGTTTCCTTGTCTTGTAATGTCTGTCTAGTTTGGTATCAGGATAATACTTCATAAAATGAATTAAAATAGTTCCTTTTTCTTTTATTTTTTGGAAGTATTTGTGTAGAATTAGCTTTACTTTGTCCATAAATGGTTGGTAAAATTCACCACTGAAGTGATCTGGTTCTGAAATTTCCTTTGATAGAAATTTTAAAGATATGAAATATATATATGCATATATTATAGTATTGTATTATCCTAATATATACATTAGCTTGTATGTACATTATTTATACACACGATATATACAAGCTAATGTATATGTTAAATTATGTATGTATATAATTCAGCTTCATACCATGACCATGAGCAGGGGATGATCCTTTGGGCAGTTGCAAACCAAGACTGAAGGAGATAAGACTAGAGACATTAAAGTAAGGACAAGGCAGGAGTAGGGAAAGACCCAGAGGGTCCTAGGAGTTGGAAGTTAGGCGAAACCTAGGGATCTGGGAACAAGAGCCCCAACAGAGTCTGTATCTGGTCCTAGGCTGGAAGGAAGATCGGGAATCAAGCAGATAGCACAGCAAACCCAAAGCTTTAGGAGCAAAGAGTGCTTGACCTTGAAGTAGATACCAACGTCAAGGAGAAACCAGCTTGGGGCCTATGGCTACAGAGTCACCATTTTGCGCAACTCCGGAGGTCATCATTCTTACTATCTACTGTGCAGAGCAGGTCAGAAACACTAGAGAATTGGCCAGTGTCTTTAAAAGGTTAAAGGTGAAAGACAGGAAGTAAATCTGTCCTTGTGACGTCTACGATCAAACATGCTCTGGGGAAAAGTACTGAAATTCACACTCAGGTTACGTCTCCTCAGGACCGTTTGCATGTTAGGGGAAATCAAAGCAATAAACTAAAGGACTTAACCTTTAAATGAGGGAAAGGCTGTGGGCAGAGGGTGATTCGGGGCAATCCTGGGCTCCCTGACACCCCTGAATTGTGGAAGGGCTGCCTGGGAACCTAGGTACCAAATCTAGTAATTGCAGAGTTTGGGGAAGGGCACTCCCACTCAGCTTCTCAGTTCAATACACATGCCTTTAATTTGGTGCTTTTTAATTCAGCTCCAAGGCTGTCGTCAGCCATTTTCCTCTCTTTCCTTTAACACTGACCACCTTGTTCCCTTTTATACTCTGAACAGAGCCAAGCAGTGTGCATTGAAATCCAACATCCTTTGTGTTGTTTGAGAAATCTGAGGCTGACATCTCCGGGGCTTTTTTTGTTTCTCTTGCCTCTCTCCGCCGTGACCTGCCAACTCCTTTTGGCTCTCCTGGGCTTTCGTCATGTCCCGTATCGATTGCTACCCTTTTCTTTATTTGCGGGATGCCTAGGATGAACCCTGCAGCGCAGTGACGCTGGCTTTGGACATGGTGGGGTGAGCCCCTGACCCCGGGCACATAGGTCCAGAGATATTAGACCAGGGTTATTGTTGCATCAGCCACTCATAAAGGAGCCAATTGATTTTTTTTTTTTTTCAGACTGCTATTTTGAATTTACAAGGTCTTTTCTGGGATTTCATTCTGCTTCTTTAAATGTTCTTTTTCTGCTTCTTTTCTGTCTTAGACCTTGTGATCCTCAGGTACCCGGTTTACTAATTACCCCCAATGCTGGCACCTGACAGCAGGTGGCCACAGTTCTGTTAATTATGTCCCCAGGCTTAGGA